GGAATGATAAAAAATGAGATAAAAAAAAAAACAAAGCTGTAGAAACTACAAAGAAAAGCTTGTTTTATTAACCAGTCTTTTTCCTGTGAGGTATGAAAGAGGTAAATGGTAAATGGTTGTATTTATATAGCGCTTTTCTAGTCTTGAAGACCACTCAAAGCGCTTTACACTACAGTTTTCCATTCACCCATTCACACACACATTCATACAGTGCTTCTATAGCTAGCACTTTTTTTGATGTGGTGAGGTGAGCGTGGTTTAAGTGGTGATCGCCACTAAAACACATGGAAGCAGTTTCTCTGGTCCGCTTACCAGAAACTCAGAGATAGAATCTGCACCAGAGGGAAATCAAGGGAATGTGGCTGAACGGCTTCTGGTAGTTTATAGAGTGTGAGAGGAATTAGCTGCATATATTAACGGTATAATTAGCTACCTATACAACGGCTGGATATGAACATATATGTGCTCCCTGCGTGTTTAGAACACACACAGAGGCAGAGAGGCAGACATGCCATAAACATGCTCATATACAGAAAGCCCATGTATGTGTGAATGTATAACAGCTTGTGAACATATAACCCAGCTTGATTTTGGTCAAATGTGAGGCACATGTCTCTCTGCCAATATTCGATGTCTGCAGCTGTTTGAATTTAACTGAGTGGGAGGGGGAGTGGGGGTCCGGCAACCAGAGAGCTATTTCCCCCCATGATAATTTAATGTGGCTAAGTATTGGCGTTCAATCTGTCCCAGTGTGCACAAGGAGAACAGCACGGGGGACGGCTAATAATCGCAATAGGGTTGTGAATGCATTTTTTGGGGGGGGGGTCTTGGAGGTCAGTAACATTTTAGGTTGATGTAACACAATCCCCCCCCACCCCCACGCAGAAAAATGTCCTTGAAAACGGGGACATGTTGGAGACTGAGGGGGGTAAAACTACTTCAGTGAGTCAGATATCATGTTTTTAACAACATGTGGCAATATCTGACTGATTACCTCATTGCAGAGCCCATCTTGAATTAATGCTGTATCTGCAAGTGTGGGAATTAGAAGATGCTCATGCAGAAACAATAATCAAGTTTAATGTTGTTGTGTGTCCTGTGTTTGTTTTTGATTTTTTTCTTACCTGTTGCTGTTGAAACACCAAGGATCCTGCAGGCGCACTCCACTACAATCCACCACACGCTCCCCGAGTTCCCCATGACCTCCAACACTTTCCCTCGTCAGTGTTTAAGAAATCAAAACTTTTCCCACGCTATCTGAAACAGTAGCAACTTAGTAGCCTTTAAAGTAGCATTCTAGACATATAGTTGTCTGTCGGCTGGATGAGTTGTTGGTGGCAATAAAGTCAGGTTATCCTCGAGTGCCATAGTGCATAGCCTGATGCACTGGACGAGTTTACCTCGGAAAGGTTTGTGACTCAATGCCCCTGTTGCTCCAATAAACTGCTAATCAGCCTCACACACACACACACACACACACACACACACAGACATGCATGCGCACAATACGACTTTCAGCCTCTTTAGCATTCCACTGTGCATGTCAAGGTGAAATTGCTCATGGTCACTCTTGCATCATTTCACATGAGTCATTTGCGCTGGTTAAAAATTATCTATAAAACTCCCTCATAAACACACACGTATGTGTGCGTTTTTAGAATTTGTGGTAATTTGTATGCACCCTTGAACTCTTGAGATCATTCACTTTGCAGCTGAACCAAACCCTTTTCTCCCGCTCTTGTTTTCCTCTGTGTAATTTCTTGTTGTTGTGTGGGTTTTGGTGAAGCATTTTTAAGGTCATACGTGCTGCTTGTTTGGCATCAGTTTACTGAAAGTCTTGTTCAGCAATAGTAAGTGCAGACAAAATGAGCTGCAGCTTTTTGCATCAGTAAACAAAAAGCAATGTTTTTACCCTTAAAAAATCTTCACCCTAGTGTGCAGTTAACTTTAATGGGACACTGACTCTCTGTGTGCTGTGAACGGTGAAACAATGGAGCGGACGTGGGATAAAATGCCACAAGAGCAGACAGAGACTCATTGACTCATGGTTACACATGCATAGATGCAAACCCACATAATCGGTTGACACAGGTTTGGCTGAGGTGTAATCTTGTTCGGGAACAACAGAGGCCTACTGGAATGAGCAGCCAGACACACACACACTGACTCCTGGTAGGGGCCAAAATAAGCCACACAAATCCCCTTAAATCTCTAACAAAGACACTTTTGTGTTTTTGAACTGGTTCCACTTGTTTCCGGCTTAGATTCCAGATTATTTGAGGTATTTATGGTATAGACATTGTACGTGTACACACGGTGCCACAATAACCACTGATACCAGATGTGTGAGGACAAATTACACTATTACATCTCTAGGAATGGCACAGAATTGCGTTGCTGCACACATATATTCTTGTTAATAATGTACTCTTTATAAAGCATCTGTAAATTGTAACTATTTGTTTGCTTTGTCCTCTGTTCTCTCCAATGCTTTGTCTCACCATCTAACATCCATCTTGATCACATTCCTTCTAGAAATGAGAAGCACAGGCTTCAGATGATAATTTACAAATGCAGATATGGTTATTTATTTAATTGCTGGATCAATTATTTTAAACACCCATTTTATCAACCCCACTGAATTTACATAGTTGCCCTGTACATCTGGGGGCCCAAAGCAGAATACATTTTGGGGCCCTACCTGAAACCTGAAAACCAGAGTGTCCCCTTGTGATAAGCGGTTGGATGGATTTTCACTCACTGACTGTACACTCACGTACGTATGTCCAGTTTTGGATCAAATAAATTATGAAAAGCCTCCAATTTGAGAGCCCTGATTGTAATATATGTTTTGTGCCGTGGACCAAAGAAGCTATTACACATTTTGAGCTGAGACTGAATGTACACAGTCACAGTCACATGCTGTAAAAGAAAATGACAGGAACAAATTACTTGACCACCCACTCTGTGATTTGATTGATACAAGAAATTTGCGGAAATCTGAATTAAATCACATAAGTGTGTGTTTACACTGCAGCTCATTGTTACACATGAACCATTCAT